TGAACCCTGGATATACATCTTTAGTCTAAGAGATTTCTTCTTAAATATTGTAAACAGGATTAAATGAAATCAACCACAGGTCCAGACATGAAGCAAGCAACCAGTTGATAGAAAGTGGACATGGGATTGTTAAGAAAAAAACAGAGTTAAGAGGGAGTCAGGAGGATGGATAGAGAGACACACAGGAAGTAGAAGGGAGGAATGTTGAGTTTGAGACAACACAGGAGAAAGCTCTCTTTCTGGGATGCCGCGAGGGAGGAAGGTCAGCTGGGTGCTTTCTCTGCTTCTCTGAGCAAGGCCTTCCTTCACCCCAGCATCTGGCTCCTGAATCTTTATTGGTAAAACTGAACAACTGAGATCTTGTTAAAAACACTAGATGACTGTCCCCTCTTCTGGCCTCTGTAGGCACCATGCACGCACATGGTACACTGACATTCAGAAAGACAAAATACCTCTACACATAAAATAAAAAATAAATGAATAAAAGCCAAAAAGTCTGCTATTCTCCAATAGCCAGATATTGGACTGTATTCTGACCAACAAAGAGCTGTAGCCAAACCACTCCAATTTTAAGTAAAGTGTCCAAAGGGAAACCTGGGGGATAAGATCCAGGGCCAAATTCAGAGGAGCCCACAGACCCAAGGAACATTATCGTTTATGTTTTTGTTTTGTTTTTAAAACAAGGTTTCTTTGTGTGGTCCTGCCGGTCCTGGAACCAGTTCTGTAGACCAGGCTGGCCTTGAACTCACAGAGATCTGCAGTCTCCGCCTCCCCAGCGATAGGATTAAAGGTGTGCACCACCACTACCCGAAGTACAAGAAGGAACATTCTTATTTCATTCACTGTACCTCCTGTATCAAGGATTTCAAGACAGGGAGAACTGCAGCCTCCCCAACCCAGTAGCAGTTCAGTGTTGGATGGTATGCACATTAACACACAGGGGAATGCCTTAAGGAGGCATTAACTCAGGTTACATGGCAAAGTGAGAAATTATGGCTTTGAACCCAGGAACCCAGGTCTGTCTTTCAGAGTTGGTGTCACAGGACAGCGAAGTAGAAGCCAAAGTAAAGGTCAGGGATCTGGGAGAGGGCTGGAGGGACGGCTTGGCAGATAAGAGCACTGGCTGCTCTTTCAGAGAACCTGGGTTCAATTCCCAGCAACTATAAGAAGGTCCCTAACTCTAGTCCCAGGGGATCTGACACCACCTGTTGGCCTCTGAGGGCACTGTATGCACATGATGACCACACACAGGTTAGCATACACCCCTACACACAAAATAATAAGAAATTAAGTTAAAAAATGTAAAAGGAGATCTGGGAGTGGGGATGGGAGCAAAGGATGGGAGAAAAGGGTAATGTAAGAAGTATTTGAAATGTCACTGCTGTTAGCCACGAAGAACTGCAAAAGTCCCACACACACATACACACACATGAAACTACAAAAATGAAACAAACCTCACAATGTTTTAATTAAGTGTATAATTGTGTTGGGCTGTGTCCATTGCTATCCTGGGCCCACACAGCCCAGAGGCTGAAAGTTGGGCACGCTGGAGTGGGAGGAGGATGTAGAGGTGGTGGGGGTTTGTTGTATGGGGAAGTGAAGGAAAAAGCAGTGATATAGATGATGCCCAAGTCTCTGGTTCTGCTAGCTGAACTTAAGAGTCCTTCACTGAGACTGGGATTCAGACCAAAGACAGAGGGCACTGATGAGGGTAATGATCAGAATGGGGAAGGCAGGGGCATTACACTTCCCCCGTCATCCAGCTCTTGAATACGGCGCTGCTTAGCCTCAGCTTTCTAGGAGCTGAGGGAGGATCCAGGAGGTCAGACACAGCCACAGAAAACCACAGCACAGGGTACTATGGGCCCAACGCACAGTGAGAACCAGAGTGAATGGGAGATACTACTACTGCTTCAGGCTGTGTCCAGCCAGAAACTGGCAACTCAAGAGAAAACCCTCACTTGTCCCTGTGCCCTCTTTCTCGGGGCTGGCCAGGTCCCACTATCCCACTCTCCTAAGCCGAAGTCAGGGGTGGTAATGAGGAATGACAGCAGGGGGAGAAAACACCGGCCTCCAATGAACAACAGGTGGTAAGGCTGTCAGCTGAAATCAGCATCCCATGGCGGGGCAGGCTGGGCTGCGGCTAGACGGGTCTCAGATACAAATGGATCCGTTGCCACTCAGTGCTCGGAGGGCTGTGGCCTTCTGCTTCCCAGTGCAAATGTTCAGCAGTCCCAGGCTATCGCTGCATCACAAGCACAGGGCCTGGCTTACACTCTTTCCCCTCAGCTCAGGCCTGCTGTTCTAGCTTCCCATCAATCCTCTTTATTTTATCTCAGTAAGAGGACATTGAAATACTACGCAGGAAAATCAATGCTCTCTGAGCCTTGCTACATCAGCACAACCACTCAGGCCCGGGAGGATGGCCATGACCGACCTGTCTCAGAGGCCCACTCTCTGCCAAGCAGTGGCCTTTGCTGGACAATATGAAAGGTGTTGTTGGGTTATCTCAAGTATCCGAGGACCATAGGTTATCACACGGGAAGGACCTTGTGCATGGTTTTCACTCTAGAAAAGGGAGGAAGGAAGTGATGAAGACCCTAGATCACTTAGGGTCAATGGTCAGAGTCTGTCCATCTCACTGCCCTTCTCCACAGAGCCTAAACTACAGGATCCTCTAGGAGAGTAAACCTGGGATGACAGCTGATCCTGGAAATAAGGGGTAGTTTTATAAAAGTAAGGCTAGGGAAAATGAATTCTAGAACCCCAGTTACCACTGTCATCTGAGCTCCTTGAGCCCCACTCTCTTGAGCAACGCAACAGGAGCGCTGATGGCAGGGACTTTGTAGATTAGACCAGGGACTGGGCTCTAGGGAAGGGGGTATCTGTTATAGTTTGGATGTGGGATGTCCCCTAATGGTTTCAACACAGGAGGGTGGCCATACCAGGAGGTCCTTAGGTCACTGTAGTCAAGACCCTGACCTCATCTATTTTTTGCAACTGAACAGTTATATTTGACTATGCCCCCCAGGAGTGGGGCTGGCTGATCAACACTGGAACCCCCAAACTGGATCACAATGTACCCCTTTGCTTTATAAGTTCATTGTCTCAGACACTGTGGTATACTGTTGTAAAGCTGATTATCACAAAAATAGTTAGTTGACAGCTAGTATGGCACATACCTGAACTTGAGAGCCTAGAGTAGGAGGAAAGACGGTCAGGCGAGGCTAGTCTACACAGTATCTCATACAAAACAAGAGGCTGGAGAAATGGCTCAGAAGTTAAGAGCATCTACCGCTTTTTCAGAGGACCTGAGTTCAGTACATAGTTCCAGGAGGTCTGACACCCTCCTCTGGCCTCCATGAGTACCTGTGTTCAAGGGCGCGCGCGCACACACACACACACACACACACACACACAACACACCCCTAATTATCAGATGGTACCAGTTTTCACATTAAGTGGACATGAGTTACTGTTGAATACTGAAACTGTCCCTGGAGGGAGAAGACATCACAGCCACATAAACAGCAAAGCCACGCTCTGTTGTACGTCTAGGTATGACAGTAAGAGATAAGATGAGAAAAATCAAGTTTTGTATCAGAGAGGACAGGAACAGCCTGGGAAAATTCTGGCCTTCTTTCCTGGCAGGGAAGGAATGGGATGGGCATCACGGACAACTATGTGTGAAGAGAATCTCAAGGCTTTCGTTTGTGGGTTTACATGTGTGTTGCTGCATGTGTATTTGGGTGTGGAAGCCAGGGGCCATGTTGAAGATCTTCCTCGATCGTCTTAATTTTTGAAACTGGGTCTCTCACTGGCTGGGGATGCCTGGCTTTGCTTCCATAGTGCTGGGATTCTAGGAGCAAGCTCAGATTCTCAGGACTGTGTGGCAAATACCTTACTGACTGAGCCAGCTTCCCAGTCCCAAAACCCCAATTTTCTGTGCTGACTGATAGAACTCGACTTCTTCAAGCAAGATACAGAGTCTGTGCACTGAGCACACATCCAAAGTGGCTCCGCTAACCTGATTCTAGAAAAGACCTGATTTCTTTTTAACTCCTACCTACAGTTCCCTGATAGGAAAATCTCTGCTGAAATCCGGGAGTGGAGTGAAAAGGTGCAGATGTTTTACATGGCAAAGGAATGACCAACTTCCTTCTGCCAAAACATCCACTCAACTGTAATTCCATTCAGAAGTCCCTAACCCAGGAGCACAGGCCTCTAAGGGCGCCATGAATGGAATTCAGGTGGTTTCAGATGGAAAACAAATCACACCTCCATTTTCACCAGCTTCTCACTGAAGCTGAGCATTTATATCACTGGTTAATGTGGGGGAAACCCAGTAGCTAGCAGGCCCTGTGACTGTCAGCAATAAAAATTGGTATGTTTATTGCACCCTATTATTGTTGCAATTTAAAACAAGGATTGTGAATTTTTTTTCTATAAGGGTCCAGATGGCAAATATTTTAGGGTTTGAGGACCAAACTGGACTCTGCTCTTGTAGAATGAAAGCAGACTTAATATATACATAGACATGAATGTGGTTGTGTTCCAATAAAACTTTATTTATAAAGGCAGTCTGTGGATTATTGATTTCTCATTTTTGGTGTTCACATATTATAACTTTGAAAGTATGGTTGCAATTAATCCTGATCATTTACTAAGTTAAAAACAACTGTATATATTATAATTCTATAAATATACAGTTATTTAAAAATATTTTAGTAATTATGTTCCTACAGATTTTATTCTATTCGGTTCAAAATAATCTGAGAAGCTAGGAAAACAGGTCAGTTGCTTGCCCAGCATGAACAAAGCCCTGGGTATGATCTCTAGCATTACATAGAACCAGGAACATGCCCTTTATCCCAGGACTTGAGAGGCAAAGAAAAGAGGAGCGTAAGTTCATAGTTATCCTTGGCTAAGAAGCTAGTTTGAGGATAGCCTGGGATAAATGAGCCCACTGCTTCAAAAATCAGTAAAAAAAAATTAGTGGCGTGCTCACTTCGGCAGCACATATACTAAAATTGGAACGATACAGAGAAGATTAGCATGGCCCCAGAGAGAAAATAAGAAAAAAAAAAGAAAAAAAAAATTAGTGGCTAGAGAGATGGCTCAGCAGTTAAGAGCTCAAACTGCTCTTGAGGGGACCAAAGGGTTCCTACTGCCCACACCAGGTCCTAGCCACCCGCAGCTCCAGCTCAAAGAAAGCTGACACCTCTGCCCCCATGGGTACCTGCACACATGCTTTCATACCCCTCCCCACCGTACACACTACTTAAAAAACAAATTAAAAAAAAATTTATTGCTATGCATGGTGGCGCACGCCTTTAATCCCAGCACTGGGAAGCAGAAGCAGGTGGATCTCTAGGAGTTTGAGGCCAGCCTGGTCTATACAGTGAAACCCTATCTCAAAATGCATAATATTCCAAGACAGGTTCCATAGGTTTTACCAGGTTGCCAGTAGCCCACGGCATGATGATGAAGATGCCTTGCTTGTCACAGAAGTAAACGCATATGTACAAAGGACCGCAGGGCATAGAAGTTAGAGTAAAGATGGCACAGCAAAGTCAGAGTGGCACAAGAAAAGACAGCTGACGCTAATGAGACTGGACATAAAAAGTCCAGACTCTCTACCGCCGCTGACAGAATGAAATAAAAAACGAGAAAAGGAGAGGAAGAGTCCTCAGCCCCCTCCCGCACCTCTCCTCTCCCACCCTGCCTCCCTGTGCCACACTGCGGCCCTGCAGTCTCCCAGCGAGTTTGCCCTTGCTGTGTCCTATAGATCCCAAATCAAAATCCTCCATGCTGATGATTTCCTGCCTCGAGAGTCACCTGAATAATGTCTCCTGTAGCCCTGTGGGAGCCGATGAAGCGAGCTTACTCTTTGAAGGGGTCAGGAAGGAATTGCAGAGGAGGAGGGCAGGCGTGGGGACCAGACCCTGTCTCTGCCTGAGCAAGCTTTAAGCCATATGAAAATATCCTTAGGGTTTTGGACAGAAAAACCATGTGGGTCTACAGCCAGCAAGTCCCATCTTCCTCCCTGAAGCCGGGCTCTTTTCTCTTTAGTCACAGTTGTATTTACTTCTAATAACACGACGGCAAAATATAATGGGAGGAGAAAAGAACCTTCTGCCTGAAGCTGAACTAAATAGCTCTGGGTTACATTTACAATTTTAATAAACTGATTTGTCAAAACTGTCAGAATCAGGGGAGATCATCTGGATACCAGATGAACGAAAATATCTGTAATTATAAGTTGTCCATTTTTCTCTTTCATCTTCTATATATGTATCTGTGAGCGGCCACATATTTCCATGCACGTACATACACATAAATTTTACACCATTAAAAAAAAGCCTGCCATAATAGAATTCAGGAGAGTAGGAACTATAGTTCCCCTGGGGGAGGAAGGGGACGGGAAGGCTGTGCGGTACTCCCCAGTTAGGACCCACATCCTTTACTGAGCTAGCCGTCAGAGCCCAGACCTTTCATTTTGCTACCACCTGGGTCACGCCTGGGCCTTCAGACCACTGGCTGTGTGACCACAGGCGTGTAACTCAACCTCTCTGGATCTCCCATACATGTGAGAGAAACAAATATTTTGACACCAGGCAGTTCCACCAGAAAGTGACCACTAAGGCTTCTTTGGAAAAGAATCCCAAGCCTTCCAAAGAATGTTATGGAAATGCCGTGTTACATAAGTGAATTCAAACACTGTCCCACCTTTACTCAGAATCCCATCTTTTGCAATGTAAGATGTTTTTTATATCCCCTCACCCCCACTTTCTTTTTTAGACAGAGTCTCACAGACCTAGACTGGCCTCAATTTACTACATATCTAACGATGACTCCTGATCCTCCTGTCCCCTGAGGACTGGGATTACAGGTTTGTACCACGATGCCCTGTGACTTTGAACTGGTAGATGGCCTGCACTTGTGGGCACTGAACCGCCTGCTGCCACAGAAGCAGAGAGCGATAAGAATGGCTGTGGAGGAGGCGGCCTGAGACGCAGAAACTGACAGGGGAGCCATCTCTCGGGTCTCTCTCCAGGGAGGCCTGGGTTACAAATCTCCCAAACATTGGAAGAACATGAGAAAGCTGTAACTAGTCACCCGGGATCTTCACCATGTAACCAACGGGCTCTGCAGATGTCCGCGCCTGTGTCTTTGCTGAGAAAGGAGAATCTCCCATTCTAAGCAAGATTCACGAGCTTTTCAAACCAGAAGCGGACAGAGATATGAACTAAAGCGCTAACTGTGATCCCAGACATCCGGTGGAATGGGCACTAACTTTAAGGAACAAAGCTAAATCTTCCGGGGATAACTGACTTGCCTAAGACCCTGTCTGGAGTTATGAGTCCATTTTGCTTTGACAAAATCTGATCAGTGGTTTCTCTGCAGCACTTGGAGATCATCTTTTATTTGGGGGGGGGGGGGTGTCTTGCATCGTAGCCCAGTCTGTCTTAAACATTTGGTCCTTGTGTCTGGTCTTCGAAATGTTAGGGTTATAGAAGGGGACCACCACACTTCGTCTGAACACTTTGGAGATAATTTGTTTTGAATCCTTGTGTATGTGGCATGTGTGTGGTGTATATGTGTGTGTTCATGTGTGCAGAGATCACAGGACATCAGCTGTTGCTTACTGTCTTTCGTCTTGTTTCTCTCGTGGCTTGTATGCCAGGCAAGCCTTCAGAAACTTTCCCGCGTCCACATCCTATCTCTAGGTAGGAATGCATGCTGGAATTAAAGACAACTTCCACCGCATTAGCTTTATGTGGGTTCTGGGGTTCTGCACTTAGGTCCTCACACATCTGTGGAAAACACTTTGTCTCCAGAACCATCATCTCCCTAGCCCTAATACCTTCTTTTTTAGTGCGAAAATGTCTTAAAATGTGTTACTAGCTACTGGACAGAAGAGATTTTCAGAGCGACCACCATGTCTGTACTTTTTTCTATACTCCCTATTCCACCCTCTCCTTCTGATTCAGCTTGCTTGGATTTGGGCATGCCCATCCATCCTTAGGGCCCACAGCAGACTAACCTCTTGCCAGTGAGAACACCTGGGCAAGGCTTTCTCTTCGTCTTGCTTCTTTGCTGATCCCACAGGGGTCTAGGTCTTTGCCGACTGTAGCTTTAATCATTTGCTAATTTGCTTAAACATCTGGTCAAATTTTGGAAAGTAATCTCAACAAGAGGGGTTTTTGCTGGCTTCTCTTAGATGCTGAGAGTTCCCACATGCCCTTCTCTGTGTCCCCACCCCCAACAAAGCATTACACAGTCTACATCAATAAAGAAAAGTCAAAAAAGGTGTGTGACTTTGGCCCTTATTTCTCTTGGTCGTGCTGGTGGTGGATGCCTCCCCCACTTTCTTTTATTTTCAGTGCTGAGTGAGGAACTTACAGCCCGCGAATCTCATACATACTAAGTAAGTGCTCGGCCACTAGGCTGCAATCCCAGCTCTCTTAGCTCTTCTTCAAGCTCTTTAGGTCCCGGGTTTCTCCAAACATCTCCCCTGCCCTCCTTCTTTATGCACACCTTTACGCTCTACTGCAAGACAGAACTTCACTCTCCTGGACTCTCAACTCTTATCTACAGGCCCCAACATGTCACAGACTCCACTGGATTTTGTACACATTTGGGCATCCCCTTTCCATTCCTATGACAACCTCTTAACTTCAGGCAGCGGTTACTCTTCACCAAGAATCAACGTGACCTGTACCGGATGGATTTTCTGGATCCATCCTCTTCAGTGCATTTTCCAAACTTTAGTCAAAGTAGGTTTTCTAGAACACATATATGGCATTGTCTTGTTTAAAATTCCATGGAGGCTGCCCAAAGCCTCACTGCCATGACACCTAAGCTCCTCGTGATCAGCTTGATGCTGTCTTACTGCTCTTCCAACTGCAAGAACACACATCCTGCTACTTGGCTTTACTCGGCTAATTGGAGCTGTGTGGACTCTGCTCTCCTTCGCCTGTGGACAGTGTGTGTGCCATGCTGGGTCCATTTAACAGTTGTCTGGATCGCCCTAACTGGTTCTTCAAGACTTGTTCTTCTTCAAGGCACAGTTTCAAAAGCAAGTCCCTCTGGGTACATGACTGGTACTCAACAAATTGCTGAATAAATAAATGAACCAAATGAACTGGAATACACACTGTAGTAAATTTGTTTTGTGCCTACAGAGAAAGGGTAGCTGCAGAGGGAGGAGAACGCAGCCGAGCTAGGGAAGAGCTGGAGATGATGCCCAGGTGGCAGGGGAGCATACACCTATGCACACTCTTTCTTTTCTTTTCCCTTAAAAGGGAGAAGGAACTGTAAAGTAGGAAAATCTTTCCACAGAAGACCTGAAGTTTGGAATAGAAATTTCAAACAATGATAGAAATCTCAACAAGACCAATCTTTTGATTTGGGTGACAGCAGAAAGAGGTTCTACAATAAAGGATGAAGAAGTGGAGGGTGGGAAGATATGCCTGTTGCATAAACATGAGGACTTGAGTTAGATCCCCAGCATATACATAAAAGTAAGGAGCTGGGTAGGGTGGAAGATGCCTGGAACCCCAGGGCTGGGGTGGAGACAGGCATGTATCCCTGGGGTTCGCTGGATAGATAGTTTACCAGAATCTGTGAGCTCCAGGTTTAGTGAGAGATTCTGTCTCAAAAGCTAAGGTGGGGAGTGGCCTAGAGAGCCAATATTGACCTCTGGCCTCCACATGTGCACACCCCCCCACCCACCCACAGAGGGAAAGAACAGACTGAAGAACTTCCATTTAGAAGGTGCTGCTTAGGCTCTGGAGTGGCAGAGAGCTGACAGTAGCTTCTCCCAGAGAGACACAGCTACCCCTCCAACAGCGCTCTCTCTAGCCTTCGCCTTGGGGATAGCGGGAGGCAATGGCAGTCTTGGGAAGACAACTGTCCATTCCCACCCTCCTTCTAGGAGGCAGTCTGCTTTCTGGCGGAAGTTCCTCTCATGAAAACCTCCAGCTCTGATCACCATCTCTGCAGACAGCCCTTCCCTTGAGAATTAGGTTTCAGGAAGGATGGATGCTAATCCGATTGCCACAGCACCCCAGATGTTGTGAGCCACTTCGAGGGTGTTCCCTG